AAACATAGTTCGAGTTCTTTAGTTTGAGATTGCAGTCTATAGTGCAACAACCATTCAGATTTAAGACATGAGTTTTTGAAGTACAATTACGCACTTCAAAAACTAGGGGAGTTCTGTTGTGCCTAAAAAATCGCACTAATGTCAGCACCAACCAATCAGAGTTCAGGAAGGCTTTGTGCCGTCCAGGAGTTGTCATGTCACCCTAAGACATAAGGGATACGGCTGTCACCAACCCAGTAGATTCAAGTTTTGTCTATGAGTGGATGAGGACTACACACCTGTCCCAACTTTATCAAATAAAAAGATAAGAATTAAAGAGTGATCCCCATATGTTAGGGCAACTTACAAAAGCACTCATTACATTGACCTCAAATGTATATAAATGAGCACCTCTCTTCACGAAAATGAGAGGTTGGACATATGAAAGCTAGACATAGATTTGAGCTTCATTATTTCTCTCTGTAAACAAAGTATTTCTTCATTTTTGTATGCCTTATGGGCAATATCATAGAAATACTCAAAGAATAATAAAATAACAGTGGATATAGGATTTGCTTTAAGCATCCGAGCCACTATAACAACCTCTTTTGTCAATCTATTATTTATGTTTCTGCAAACATATATAATCTCAGCACCATATTCAAATCTCATGGATCCATCACGTGTAATTTCTAAAACTCTCTTAACACTTTGCACGTGCGAGTCGTTGGTGTCCAAAATCAAGTATCAACATATTTTACATAAAAATGGGTAATTTCTCTTATCCCACATTGATTAGTTTACATAGGATAGGATTATGCTTTTATGAGCTATATAAAGAGAGCATCCTAGTTAATTTTAAATCTCAAATAACGGGTTTTATACACAATATTGTTCACTCACTCATACTGTAGTTCAGGGAGAGTGCTTCTAACTTTGTAATTTTCTCGGTTGATACTAGTGGCTTGCTCATTGCTTACCGAGGCTAAACCTCACAAATCTATTTGTTCTCTTTTTTTTTTCTTTTTTTTTTGAAACTTTTATTTGGGTAAATAAATTCAATTACAAGTTAAATCTTTTTTTTGTTTTTTGTGCGTTTCCAAACTTTGTTCTACTTTCAATGCTTTTAAAGAACGGTGTCCGCAAATTGATAAAAACCATAAAAAGTTATTTTAAATACTTCAAAAATACACATTTGATGATTTTGATTAAAAGAAAAAGAACAGAAGGGGTTTTTTTATTTAGGTAATGCTAAAGGTGCAAAAAATTTTACAAAGATTTCGTATACAAAATTATGTAACAGAAAATGAATGTAAGAGTAAATACAAAAAAGTCAAACTTATCGTATTGACTTTTTCATTCATTTATTGTCATATCACTTTGTATAAGAAATCTTAGTAAATTGCTTAGTACCTTTAGCATTATTGTTTTTTTTATAGAAAAATATTACACCCACAACCTCTTATCACAAACTTCCTCTGATGACCCGGATATGGCAGCTCACAATTAGTTAGCTCGTAATGGCTCCCATCTGATAAATTGCAGCTGATTAATTGCGAACTGGCACGTCAAAGTTGTAAGAGAAAGTTTCTGAAAAGAGGTTGTGGGTGTGGCGTTACTCTTTTTTATATCATCAACAATTTCAAAAATATAACCCTAACCCTTATTATGTTAAATTTTGTAAATAAAAGTTCATTAAAGATGGAAATGATATTTATACCCTTAATTTTAAATCAAAATCTCATAATCGCACCAAACTTATTAGTTTTACATTCAATTATTTCTTTATTAACCTAAAAAACTTTATAATTTTTCCTTATTCACCTCTCAAATCTCATCAAAATCTTTCATCAAGTCAAAGCATCCTCAACAATGAAAACCTCAAATTAAACCCGAAATCAAACCTTAAATCAACTGCATCACATGGTCTCATCACCTAGACTTCATCCATCCATTAGAGTTTGTCAATCTTGTTAACGATTAAGACCAAGTCCAAGATGTTTCTGTTAAAGACCAAGTCCAAGAGCTATCCACTTCTATTAGAGACCAAGTCCAAGAGCTATCTACCAAACCACTAGAGAAATATTCTCCAACTGATTTTGTAATATTGCAGTTTTGATTTGGTTTTATCACTTGTTGTGTATAAATGCTTTGTAAGGATGGGCACGGGCAAGGTCGGGGCTGGGGACCCCTATCTTTGGGCCCGGCCTAGAAGCCCAAGGGGATTTGTCAAATCTAGCCCATCCCTGAATTAGGGATTTCGGGGAATCCCCAAATCCAGCCTGCGAGGATTTTGGGTATTTCGGGATCCCCAAATAAAAAAAAAAATTAAAAAAGAATCAAATGATACATAAACTAATGCTATTATAGTACTATACTTGTACTATATTAATATTGTTCCGAGACTTTATATTCAATTTTTTTAAGTCTCTTGTCAAATTATCAAAATATATGTCTCTTATGAAATGATTAGACCTGGGCATTTGGGACTAGTCCCAAAATCCGGGCCCAAAGGACTGGTCCTAGCACCGGTCATTGTAAGGCCTAGTCCTAGAAGGGCTTGGTCCCAAACCTAACCAAGCCTATGGGAGGAGGGATCGATCCCTTGATCGAGCCCTTCTCTAAGGCTCGGGCTTGGGACTAGTCCCAGCTTGGGCCCAAACCTATTTAAAAAATTTCACAAACTTTTCTTCAAATTACAAGCCATCAATCTAACTTGAAAATGTTGAACAAAAGATCATATGCAACCAAACATAAGGAACTGGCCGCGGTAGCTGCAACCAAATAAGAGGTCCTCCTGGTGGTGTTTGTGGTTAGATGCTAGTGCTTAAGCGCCAGCAAAATCTGAGCAGACCTAGACCATCGCGGCGATGCTCGGGCAGATAAAAAGGCCACAAACATTGGCTAGATTTGGCCAAGCACAACAACTTTTACATGAATAGAGTGTAAAAGCCATTTAATTTATGTACTTTACACGAATTAATTGAAGCTTTCATGACGATAAAATTACCTATCTAAAAACCATTTGATCATGTAATTACTTACTTACCATTTAATATTTGACAAACTCAATCAGATGGATGTGTAATAGCAAGATGTTTGAGGGTCTGAATAATTTCCCTATATGAACTTTCTTTTTGTTGGTTTACATTCCTTTTTGACCATTTAACCTTTCAACCTGCCATGTCAGCTACCCATAAAAATCAGCGCTGACCGAGGCGGGAACCACGACCAAAAGGAATTGGTGAGAGTCGGTTTCGGCTATAGCTCATTCGGTCAAGCATCGGGTCGGGTCGGGTGTTAGATGCCACGGATCATACCATGCCTCTTAGACCAACCCTTTTTTAATTTTGTTGTTTGTTTCATGAAATTGTTATGATTAATTTGAAAGTTACATTCTACTGAGTCTAATTAATATTTTCGTTATCTTTGTCTTTGAATTTGGTTCATAAAAGTTTTTTCTTGAAAGACAATAGAAAAAGCATGAATTGATGAACCATTTTCAACCACGATTTTGTCATGGGGAATTAAGAGTTCATTGACTGGATAAGAAGTCATTGGCTCATTGCGTATCAAGAGAATTTAATATGCCTAAACCTGCAACAAGAATCAACGTTTTTATCATCATAAATTGGTGATCAACTTTAATTAATTAATTACGGAATCTTGGAAAAACTGGAGATGTTGACGAACTGAAACGCCAAATACAAATAGAATAAGATAAACATAGGGTTGGTGTGGCAAAATATATCAAAGAAAAAAAATGTTAAAAAAAAAAAAAAAAGAAAAAAAAGTTGAATAAAGAAATGAAATGCGTCTCACGAATACGATGTAAATTATAAAAAGCAATATAAATACAATAAAAGGCAATAGACTATTTCAACAACTTTTTGAGTCATTTATGGTGTTGGGTGCATGCCTTGTGGTGGCCTTTTCACTATCTCCTTTTAGAACATGTGCTCCATGGATTTCCATATATTCATGCATGTACATCCTTGTTGTAAAGTTTACAAACCCTAACCAGCTTTGGCCTTTAATGATTGATTATCCGTTTGATAAATAAAGGTAAAAAATTATTATTCTCAAGTATATTATATGAACCACAGAGGGTTGGCCTAGTGGCAAAAAATATATGCTCCTTTCATTGATTTTCTAGGTTTAAACTATTTTGAGGTTACCTATCATATATTTGTAGCTTACCTTGGAACATTGAGCTTATAGGGTGTTCAATAGGCTTCAGGGATTAGTTGAGGTACACGCAAGTTGGTCTGGACACCCCGATTATAAGAAGGAAAAAAAGTATATTATATAAATTTAATATACACAAATTAGATCTTTAAATTTAAAAAACAATAGAAAACTGCATGCTTTTCGAAATTTAATTAGCCCTTATAAAAGTCATCATGTTTTAGGAGTTAAGGTGGATGGTTATAACCAGGTCCAGAGATGCTACTCTAGCCCACCCTCAAATTTTTTTAAAAAAAATATTAATTGGTACAATTTCTGGATTTTGACCCACCTTCGCAGAAATATTAACGTGTAATTAGTTTTTATTTTGACCTACTCTAATAGAAATTTATGGATCTGTCCCTAGCTATAATCGCACGGCATGTTGTTAATAGGTGATTGAATCATATACATTTTTAATGGAATTGTTTGAAGTGTTGGAAAAAATTAGAGCAAGACAAAACCATCTTCGTTGCATATTTAAACCAAGTCTTTGAAAGTGGCCTTTGCCAGTTTGCATTTACAAGTACATATTAAGCATCAAATTAAGTTGTCTCATTGTCATTTGTGTGGAAATTTGTTATTGTCTTATATTTGTTTTAACTAATCATCAAAGTTAATCAGGGAAAATCAAGAAATTGATGGCTAAAATAGGAAAGAAGGTTAGGTTATCTTCCTACCAGACAAATATAAAGTTATAAACACACCCCATTTTACAAGCCCAAGTTAAGCCCAACATGATTCCCTCATCCCATGTGTTTTATTTTCATAAAAGTTTGTTTTTGGTAACTTTTGTCTTTTTGAACGCTCATTCAAAGCAGAAATAAGGAAAGACCAAGACTTTAGAAAAACAGATCATCTGGCTTTATTTCTCCCCATCAAATATGCTAAAATGTCTTCACCCCCATATGCCTTGTGAGAGAAAGAGGGGTGAGTGAAGAACATGAGGAATATAATCAGCAAGCGCCACTGCTGCACCATTTATTTATTCTTTTCTCTAATCATTTTCTTCCCAACAATTGTCATCTCTGCAGACACCATAACACCAACTCAAAAACTCAAAAATGGCCAAACTCTTGTCTCTGAAGGTGGCGTCTTCGAGCTTGGATTTTTCACACCAGGCAATTCAGGCAAGTGGTATGTTGGCATATGGTACAGGAACATTCCTGATAAAGCATACGTCTGGGTTGCAAACAGAGACGCCCCGCTTTCAAATTCATCCGGAACTCTCAGCATCAGCAACAAAAGCATTGCTCTTTTTGATCAAGTCGAGACAATTGTGTGGTCATCAAATCAAACTGAGGCTGTGAACCCTGTTGCTCGACTTCTAGACTCTGGAAATTTTGTTCTAAGAGAAAACAATGGCCGTGAGATTCTGTGGCAAAGTTTTGATTACCCGACGGATACTTTGTTGCCGGGGATGAAGCTGGGGTGGGATCTGAAAACAGGTTTTGACAGGAACTTAACTTCATGGAGAAGCACAAACGATCCTTCCTCAGGGGACTATTCTTTCAAGATAGATTATCATGGATTCCCAGAAATATTTTTGTGGAAAAAACTAGAAAAAAGGTATCGGAGTGGGCCATGGAACGGGCTTAGATTCAGTGGTGTCCCAGAAATGAAACCTCTACCTAACTTGAACTTCGAATTTGTTATAGATCAAGATGAGATATATTATTCATTTGACATAACTGACAAGAATTTAAAGTCAAGATTGATGGTTGATTCATCTGGGTTGCTTCAAAGATTCACATGGGTTGAAGAGAGAAAAACATGGAATCCATATTGGTACGCACCAAAGGATCAGTGTGACAATTATCTGGAGTGCGGTCCATTTGGGATATGTGACGCAAATGCTTCACCTGTGTGCAAGTGCATGAGGGGATTTCAGCCTAAAAATCCTCAGGCATGGAGTTTGAGACTGGGATCAGATGGGTGTATCAGGAAGACAGAGTTGCAATGCATGAAGGACAAGTTTTTGCATTTGAAGAATGTGAAGTTGCCTGAAACTACCACCGCTTTTTTAGACAAGAATATAACTCTTAAGGATTGTGCGGCGTTGTGTTCGAGGAATTGTACTTGTACAGCTTATGCCAACGCCAATATAAGTCACGGCGGTAGTGGTTGTGTTATATGGACGAGTGACCTCCTCGACATGCGGCAATATGCAGAAGGTGGCCAAGATCTCTATGTTCGATTGGCTGCTTCCGATATAGGTACCTTCAAATCTTACAATCCAATTTCATTTAAATTTTTCTATAGTTTTTTCTTCTTTTCTTTTAAAATATTTCTCTGGTAGTGCTCATAATTCTTTAACATACATATTACGTAGTTGTTTTGTCAACAGCAGAGACTTCTGCTCTGATACTAGTCAGCAGAGTAGTCTTTTTAGACTCGTAATAGTCAAGTTTGGGCCACTCAATTCCAAGAAGATGCCCTCTTCCTGTGTTTTTGGCTAAATAATTTAAGGGCATATTTTCACTTTCATCCTTTAGATTTGAGGTTTGTTCTTTGCCCCGTATTGTAGGATACAAACCATTTAGTTCTTTCAGATGACTATGTCAAGCGTCGTTGATGAAATCGTGAGGGTAAATCTGTGGTATTGATAGAATGTAGATTTAAAAAACACCTTATGCTGTTAAGAAATTGAACCAACAACACTAACCTTAGTCCTCTGACTAAGACTGAAGAGTTTTTATCCCTAAACCGAAGGGATGAAAGGTAAAATCCCAAATTTTCAAAGTAAAGGCTAGATGAGTTGTTAGCCGTTCATCATAGCTGATTAGTATCACTTTATGATGAGTCATGCCACCTGGACCCTAAGGTCTGTTGCTATAGCTCCTCCACGCGGGCGGGTCCCTCATCTGAATCCACAACCGTGTAAAACAAAAAGGTAATTTGTGATCGGACGGTGTCAAGGTTGTCTGTGTCTGTGATGGCTAACTCTGATTTGACGTGTCGTTTGATAAGTGAGTGTCACGGAATCAGGACCCACAATAAACGGTTGGTCCAAAATCGTCTCTGCCGTGGGCCGACATATTTGACAGTAGATATTGGTTTGAGGCAGGCCCAATATTCCTTTTCACATTGTCGTTATCTAGATTAGTAAAGAGAGTTAAATAGCTAAAGTCGGACAACAATTCTGGGGGTCCTACTTAAATAGTTTTTAATTAATGAATGTTTAAAGTCAAGGATAGCTTTTATTTATTGGTTAACGTTCTTTTCACACAAAGCCCCAATCAATAAATAAATCCTTCTTTTCTTTCTTTTATTTTATTTTTGTGCCATGATTTTTATACTCCTTTGTTTTCAATTTTTTATTTGAAGTACATATAAACTTGATGGTTTTAAAATATATATTGATAAGAAACTTAGTAATAAATTAATTTATAAACTTTGGTTACAAATATTGGTTATTTTGCATTAATTATTGATTAATTTGTTTCTCTTTGTTAATATTTTCAATGCTATATATAAAGTGTAGAAATTTTGGCTCACATTAGGCCCATAGGCCACAATCACGGAACAATAGTCTCAGTGTTCTACTCTAATGATACAATATTAGGACCTAAATTGCATCAAAAAAAAAAATTAACACTATGATTTACACAACTTAATATAACCGTCCCAAGCAGTTCAAAACAATGATGAGAAACGGCCATTAGATTAAACAACCAAGCTGTCATGTGGCAAATCCAATTTCAAACAGGAACTTGAACCATTAAATTTATTGGTTGTTTTTGAAATCTAATGGGCCCTTTGTCTGTGAGTTAGGTATTAATGTTTCCGCATGCATCTTTGTCATCTGGAATCGAGCCAGTGCAACATTGCCAGCTAATTGTAGTAGAAACTTCAATGCAAGGAGCCCATATTTGATGACAGAAATAAATGTTTAATTTTTGAATTGAAAGTATATCCACTACCAATGTATAAACTGAATTTCAGATGTGACAAATATTATCTGTGGACATTAGAGGACTTGAAAAATTCTTGGTTTCTAAGAAAGGGTAGATAATGATGGTTGAGCTACAACCCATCTGGTTTTTCTTCTGCATTATTAGGTCTATCCACATTAATTACATATGGCATATGATTTCTGGTTTGGGTGGCAATGTTGAAACTTCATTGTTATTAGGCATGAATTATTGGGTTTAGGATTCCTTGTTACTGAAAATGACGTAGGAACCTATTTGATTGAATGATCTCCTGTAATTTATTGAACATTGACAAACTCATTTTATTCGTACAATTCTTATGCAGTATATATGAAAAGAGGGTTTGTATTTGTATTGGTTGAATGACGCATTATCACAAATTAATTTTCAAAACTTCTAATAGGAAAAGTTAAAAAGTTATTTTGTTTGAGGGAATTTCTATATTCAAACTTTGTTCTTATTGTTGTTTGGTTGTACCGTTTAATCTTTGAGCTTCTTCTCTTTAATGGAAAAAAGTTTGGCAGATTTTTGTATTATAGCTTTGTGATTGAAGCAATGCATTTAGTTTTCATAAACTAGCTCATTTCCAATGTCAAAACAAACATCACTAATACATATTTTGCGCCTAAATAATAGTGAAACTGATCACAAGCTTTGCATATCAGGTGATGGTGGGAATGCGATTTCTCTGATAATAGGATTTACAGTTGGTGGTGCCGTTTTGGTTTTAGGGGTAGTTGCCTTTTTTCTGTGGAAAAGGAAAACATTGCTTACACAAAAAGGGAAGGCACAACAGAAAGGTAACAAGAGTATGTTGCCATTTAGTAAAAATGAAAATAAAGTTGCAGTTATACATTTATTTTGATTTTATGTGCTGCTCGTGTTATATCCAAATCAGGTCCTTCAGAAAGAAGCCAAGATTTACTTTTGAATGAAGTGGTTATTTCTAGTAGGAGAGACAACTCTGGTGAAAAGACGGACGAAGTCGAATTGCCATTGTTTGATTTTGATACCATTGCAACAGCCACAGACAACTTTTCTGATGATAATAAACTTGGACAAGGTGGTTTTGGCAGTGTTTACATGGTAAATCCCCTGTCATATAATACACTTCTTGTACAAGTAAATGCTCCAAATTTATCTTATAAAAATATCTTTGAAAAAATCAGGGTACGTTAGTCGAGGGTCAAGAGATAGCAGTAAAGAGGCTCTCAAGAAACTCCGGGCAAGGCATTGAAGAATTCAAGAATGAGGTCAAATTAATTGCGAGGCTTCAGCACAGAAATCTGGTTCGACTTCTCGGTTGCTGCATTGACTTGGATGAAAAGCTGCTGATATATGAGTACATGGAACACAGAAGCCTGGATTCTATTTTATTTAGTTAGTCCTCTCAGTACTTAAATGAGCTTAAAAATAGGCTACCTTTGATTAGTGTATAAAAATCTATTTGACTTTGGTTTACTCATTTTAATTCACATTTTGTTCTAGATAAAGCAAAAAGCAATCTACTGAATTGGCAAAGGCGCTTCAACATCATTTGTGGGATTGCGCGAGGACTCCTATATCTTCATCAAGATTCCAGATTTAGGATTATCCATAGGGATCTTAAAGCAAGTAACATTCTGCTTGATAAGGACCTAAACCCAAAAATATCAGACTTCGGCATGGCTAGAATATTTGGAGGAGATCAAACAGAAGCAAATACTAAGAGAGTGGTTGGAACATAGTATGTATCATAAACTAGATTCAGTACTCATTTACAAGATAGATTCTAATTTACTCAACTTACTAATATAGTTTTATTCGTGACCTATAGTGGTTATATGTCTCCTGAATATGCAATGGATGGACTCTTCTCAGTGAAATCCGATGTTTTTAGCTTTGGAGTTTTGCTGTTAGAGATTGTAAGTGGTAAGAAGAACAGAGGATTTTATCACTCCAACAGCGAACTTAACCTTCTTGGACATGTAAGTAAATCAAATAATTCTTCTTTCAGTGACATGTCAAAATTTATAATGTAAATGAAAAATAATTAAAACTGTCATGATTACAGGTATGGAGAATGTGGAAAGAAGGAAAGGGATTAGAAATAGTAGATTCAGCAGTGGGTGATTCATATCTTGCACATGAAGTATTGAGATGTGTCCAGGTTGGGCTGTTATGTGTCCAAGAGAATGCAGAAGAAAGGCCAAAAATGTCATCTGTGCTTTTGATGTTGGGTAGTGAAACTGCACAAATTCCCCAGCCTAAAACCCCTGGTTTTTGTCTAGGAAGAAACCCTCCTGAAACCGATTCATCTTCAAGTAAGCACGATGAATCATGCACGGTAAACCAGGTCACAGTTACAATGCTAGATGCCAGGTAGTGAAAGGTATAACTTCATCCAGCAAATTGTAGACTTGAAAAACTTTTGGAGTTTTCTCTGTATATCTTCTGCTGTGAATTTTATTTTGGAAATGAGTCTTTTTGGTTTATCTCATTACAGATATCTTCATTTTTAATCTGTCTCAACAAAAATAACTATTTCACAATGTAAAATTTATTTGTCAGGAGTTTCAGAATTTTGAAATACACACATATATTTCATAAACATATCCTGCTGTCATGGTTTGTACAGAATATAGGTAGGTATAACAAAAAGATAGAAATAAAATTTGCTTACACTACACAAGAACACCATGGATAGAGGAAGATTTACATGGAAGCTAACATTACTTTCTGATTAAATATATTACTTTCTGATTAAATATCACATTTGATCCGAAAAAAGGTCTTAACTGCAAAAAACTCTCTGCCTTCAATCTGCTTTCTTGTCAGTTATCTCTCATTTTTCTTTTATGCTTCTCTTTTACTCTTCCAGTTCAGAGTTGGCAAAATATAATATTTTCTTTTGTTTTTTCCTAGTCAATGTAGCCTGCAAATAGTCAAGACAAGTTTGATCTTTAAAGCTTGAGCAAAGTCTCATAATCATAACTATATGTATGATAAATCTTCGATACGGAGTTGAGGTAAAACAAAAAGTAAAAACAACTCCCTTGCTAAATAGAATAGAGGGAAGAATCCTGAGAACAAGTGACTAAGATGTTAAGAATACTAAGAGCTAGAAGTTGGAAACAATAAGTTAGAAACCTTCTATCAGTGTACTATTATCTTTAAACGCGAAATTAGAGATCTTCATTGTAGTCAAGTTTTGGTGAGCGGCCAAATCTAGTGTATGGTTGATTTTTATTCATATTTTAGTTTATCTTGATATCATTTCCCTTTAATTTATTTGAATAAGGTACTTGATGGTGATTACTCAAAACAGATAATAAATTGTTCTACCAAATTTCTAAGTGATCACAAGATTAGGTGCTGTAAATACATCACCATGTCTTGGAATGATTAATTTATAAATATATTAATGTAAATTGATTGAGAGATTTAACATCTCTGTATCAATAATTTTCTTTAATCAAACTGCTCATTGTTTCAGTCTTAAGGACATGTAAGTATTCAAATGTATATTATGATCTTCTACCTTCTACCCTCTTAAATATTTCTGCTATAAACTAGTAATCGTCGCCTTGACAATGAAAGACTGAACTGCAAACTGCCTCAAGCATGGAAAATAGTAACTTTGATTTTGGAGTATATTGCTCTTCTCCAGAAAAACCCTTGTAAAATTAAATTTCAATTGATCTAAAAACCAAAGGAAAAAATATGTTGAGATTTAAACTCATAGGAAAAAGTGACAGTTGTATAATTTGATCACATACTTTTGATGGTGTCGGTGGAGGTGCAACTTTGTCAAAAGATCTTTGTTCATGTATTTCCAATATAGAGTTGATTTATTAATTATTTTACCCAAGTAGGATACTTTTCACTATGCTAAGAATGATGTAATCTAAAGAATTACACCAAATAAACATCAACATGCCACCGCTTACTAGTAATCCACAGTAATAAAATCATGCTTCCAGTTGTTAACTTGACAGTGAGATGTTCAACTTTTCCATCATTTTATATTAACTTTCTTTTGTTTTGGTGTAGTTAGGTGTTACTCTTATTGCTATATCACTATCAACATAGGAGTTTTATATAATTCCTGCCACTTACCATGGAGCATGATAATTTTTTTATTTTTTTATTTAAAGATGAAATATGAACGTGGATGAAAGTAATGGAAAAAAGAAGCCTTGTGCTCTTCATTTCTAAATTTTGATGTTCCTTCTTCCATCTATCTTAATGCAGTTAGTCATCGATGACGGGCTGTTTACGGCAGAAAACACTTTTTATGTAGCAGTAGCTACAAGGATGTTTCTTATTTTGTTTTTTTTTTTTTTTTTTTTTTTAATATCTGGTTCTGGTTCAAAAATCTAGTCAGTCTCTATGGAAAATCTAAGTTTATATATTTGTTTTTAGCTTCCAAGAATATGGAATGCTGGGCCCATGAAATTCAACTACTCCGCACTTAAATAAGACTTTGCTGTCCCTTAATAGTTCAATCGTGGATCTGAAGTCTTCATCATCTTTTCAAGTGGAAGAATAAAGTGCTAGAGGCCAAGTTCTATTTGCAGAAGAGGCATGGAAAAGAAAACTTATGGAAAAACTGAAGAATAGCGGTCCGTCTTTGGCGGTTTTCTGCTTCTTGATATCCTTTCTTGCAAAATACTCAATTGCAATCGACACTATAAATCCAAAACAATCCATCAATGGTAGCCAGACAATAGTTTCATCGGGGCAGAAATTTGAACTAGGCTTCTTCACTCCTGGTAATGCCAATGATCAATATCTAGGAATATGGTACAAGCATATTCCAGTTCAGACTGTTGTTTGGGTTGCCAACAGAAACAAGCCCCTCAGAAATTCTTCTGGCATTTTAACATTTCGCAAAGATGGAATGCTGGTCATTCTCAACCAAGAAGGGGACGTTATTTGGTCCTCAAGTTCATCCCGTACCACAAAAAGTCCGGTTGCGCAGCTGTTGGATACCGGAAATTTTGTTTTGAAAGATTTAGCTGATGGCAAAGTTGAAAACTATGTGTGGCAGAGCTTTGATTATCCATCTGATACTTTGTTACCAGGCATGAAGCTTGGATGGAACTTGAAAACTGGCCTGAATCGATACTTGACATCCTGGAAAAGTTCAGATGATCCTTCTTTTGGAAACTATTCTTATGGTTTGAATAGTGGTGGACTTCCTCAGTTTGTTCTAAGTAGAGGATCAACTGTGCTGTTCCGAAGTGGACCGTGGTGTGGTACACAATTCAGTGGCGCTCCAGCTCCAATTGTAAACCCAATTTTCACACCATTGTTTGTATCCAATGCTAATGAAGTATATTATGCATTTGAAGTCACGAAAAATATCAACTCAAGGTTTCTATTAAGTCACTCTGGTGTAGTTCAGCACCTTTCATGGAATGAACGACTTGGTTGGTATCAGTTGTTCACGGTTCAGGAAGACCGTTGTGACAATTATGGCTTGTGTGGTAGTTATGGTTATTGCAACATTGACAAATCTCCAAATTGTGACTGTTTGAAGGGCTTTATACCTAGATCACCACAAGACTGGAAAATGCTCGACTGGTCCAGAGGGTGTGTTCGAAAGGATCCAAATGTTTGCAGAGGAGACAGATTCTTGAAAATTACTGGATTGAAACTGCCAGATGCAATGCAATTTCGGGTGAAAGTTAATATGACTATTGAAGACTGTGAGGCGGAATGCCTGAAGAAGTGCTCTTGTGTGGCTTATGCACAACTGGGCAGTAGTGGTGCTGGCAAGGGATGTGTGATCTGGTTTGGAGACTTGATTGATATTAAACAAGTTGCTGAATATGGACAAGATCTTAACATAAGAGTTTCAGCTTCTGAAGTAGGTGAGATTAATGTACTTTTACCTCAAATGGATGAAGTAGCAATTATCTAATGTACTAAGAAAAAATGCTTCCTTAGCTCTTGAAATTGTACTAATACCATCTTTATTTTTGTTGTCAAGAGTCTAATGCGGGTACAAGTAAAAAGCAAATGAGTTTGGTTATTGTTGTGTCTATATCACTGGCATCAGTAATGATCATAGTCTCTTCAATCAGCTGGTTCCTGATTTGGAAAAAGAAACGAATTGGAGGTAAAAATATCATAATCATAGACATTATGTGATACTTTTCATGACAGTTTAGTCTCTTGTTTTCCTACTCATTGATTAGTCCATATTCTGGAAAATAGGTAACCAGACAAACAATCCAATCAGCATTAGCGTGTCTAAAGAGCAAGAGGATGATATTGATCTGCCTTTAGTGGAATTGGCCATCATTGAAGCTGCCACTAACTTCTTCTCTGATGCAAATAAAATTGGGCGAGGAGGATTTGGCCCTGTATATAAGGTAAATTTTCATTTGCACAATGGCATATGTATATATTATACTATTAGGATCCCACATTGGTAGGGAAAATGGTGGACATGTAGGTTATAAGAGCTTGGACACCCTCTTTTGACAAGCTGGTTTTCTAAGGAGGGTTCTACCCAAGCCCATAAAAGACCTATAGCCCAACCTAATTGTTTGAGTTGTTGGGGTGGGTTCTTATTAATTGGTATTAGAGCATGATTCTACACCTACGTGAAGCGAACGCTTGTCATGCTGACCTTGGGTATGGGCTGCTACCCCGAAAAAGGGCATGGAGGCCTGAGAGAAAGGGGATTTGTGTAGTCATCGAAGGGGTAAAGAAGTCGATAGAGGTAAAGGGGTAAAAAGGCCGATGGGGGTATCCTAAGCACATGAAAGACCCATGGCCAAACCCAATTGTTTGAGTTGTTAGGGTTGATTCCTATCAATTGGTGCTGACCGTGGCAGGCTAACCTTGGGTCTGGGCTGCTACCCTAAGAAAGGGCATGGAGGCCCGAGAGAAAGAGAATTTGCGTAGTTACCCAAGGGGTAAAGGGGTAAAGAGGTCAACGGGGGTAAAAAGGCCAACGGGGATGTCGGTTACGAAAGCGTGGTGTAATGTTAGGATCCCACGTTAGAAGGAAAGAAGGTGAGCATCTGGGTTATAAAGGGCTTGGGCACCCCCTCTTGGCAAACCAGTTTTTCAAAAAGAGTTTTACCTAAGTCTATAAAACACCCATAACCCAGCACAATTGTTTGAGTTGTTTGGGTGGTTCCTATCATAAACACTTAAAACTTACTTCTAAAAATGATATGACAAGCTGAAAGGAAACAATAGCACCCGACCTGACAACAAACATGTTTCAAGATTTCAAGATCTAGAGTGAGATAGCAGCTCATAAGATACAGACACGAGGAGTAAGAAATCTGCAATTATTCGAAAGTACTGATACCATACACAATTATAGGGTGCACTGTAATCTCTAAAATCTGATTTCAGTTTACCTTGAAAATTTTTCAGAGAACTTTCATTACATATAGCAGTGGGCTGGCCTGTATCTTATGAAGCTGTTAGTTTCTTACATCTTTCTCTTCCAATATTCTCTTCAAATGTAAA